AAATGCAGGAGCACCCTATTGAAAGAGGGTATGGGATTTATATCCTGGCCACAACAAACTCAAAAAGTAAGTGATTGCCATAGCTGAAAATTTTATTTAATCTTTCTGAGTATAAACTTGCATGTACTGTTTATGTCAAAATAAAAATCTTACAGTCTACTCATTAAGTAACTTCTATAGAAATTTATTGAGTTAAGTCTCGCTTCTTCTGAAGGTATATGGAAGTGCAATTTTATTATTGCGTACATTCATTTCAATGACTCTTTAGAAGGTAGAAAAATTTCTTCTCTTTATGTGGATACATGAAAAAAATTCAGTCAAGAAATTATGTTATTTCTTTTGGTTATTTTGATCTACTGGTAATGTTCTAAGATTCATTGGAGGCAGGCATTAATTGTACATATAAAAAGAAAATATGGGATTTAGGGTTTATGAGCAAACAAATATTTACAAATATAGACCAAATACTGATAATCAGTTTTTTTTTTAATAATCAATGACTGGGCAACCACTTTGTACGTACTAGGCCTGTCAATGATGGCCAAAAATTATTAATAAAATATCTCTTGGCATTTTATTAATAATTTGAGTGCGAGATTTAGTGGCAATAATTATGTTAAATGTCTGATATATACAAAATAGAGTTGGTTTCTTTTTACTAAACAAATAATTGTGTGAAGGCTCCCACTTGTATATACCCTAAAATCAATGGATTTGAAACTTTCAGATGTTCGAACTCGATTTTGCTTGTGACATTGATAAATTGCTCAAGAATTTTGGAGGACTTTGTGTTAGGTGGCGTGGCAGGGCTTTAACTGCAGTAGAGCACGCAAACGCTTACTCTTTGTCCGAGGACTTAAATCTTGAGTTTTCTCCATTGGTTTCATGCCTGCTTCTGTAAAAACTTATTTCTTTTTACCCAAAAAAAAAATCTTCTGTTTTGAAAAAAGGTGCTTTTGGTCTTAGCTTCATTTCAAGTGGACTTCAATGTTAATGTTGGGTAGAAAATGCTTTTTAATGTTTTTTGTTTGTCAAAAAATACTTTTTAATTTATGTTAGTGACAAATAAAGATTTGCAGACCCCTCTCTCTTAATAGCAACAACAGTAACAATAATTTGCGCACATATTTTTCCCTCACGCAAATACTTCAACAAACATCTACTTTGCTGATGATCACATGTTTACACATTCAGTCATTCATGCATACAAATGTATGCACATGATATCTTATTAGTATATTAAACAGAAGTATAATATACTCCCTTCAATCCTCGTTATATGATGCTTTCTAAAAACAATTCTTAATTCAAAATATAAGATGCCTTGTAATAATTAAACTAACTTTTTTAATTTTATCCTTTATTAATTAACGTAAAGGTATTTAATATAGTTATATTATAATTTAAAGTCAAAGACAAACATGAAAGTACATTTAATTTTTTTATAATATTGAAAAAAATTAACTCTTCTTAAAATATGCGAAACAGTTGAAAGCATATCCTGGGGGACAGGAGAAAGTATACTTTATTTATTTATAAAAATAATTTATACAATTAGTCCAAAGAGCCAACAAATGCCTTGAGGGGGCAATAAATGTCTTTATATGATGATGATAATTGTGTGAAAATTACAACAATAAATACAGTGCATCATGAGATATTTTGAAATTTACAAAGAAGAGATGGTGAATGTTTGTGATTCGAAATTTTGTAATTTAAAATTATGACTATAAATGGTGCTATTCAGGATTATTGTTGCACTTTAATGTCCTTACGCTGTTCTTTCGTTATAGTAACTTGGGAGAGACTTAAATACAATATCCTATTAACAATTGACAGTAACCCATAAAAATTCCTTTTTGAAAATTATAATTGAAGTTCTCATAATTATTTGCATTTAAATCAAAGCTTCACATCATGTTTTAACTTCACCCAAGTAACAATAATCCACCGATCACATATGATCTTAGCATGGATGGATCTAAATAAGGCATATGCTTTTACAAGGACTTTAACATATGCCGGATTTTTTATGAAAAAGGTTATCACATTTTAATCTAATTGACATGCAAAGAAAATTTATACATTAAGTATAAGCTCCTGTGCAGTGCACAGGTAGTGAAACCTAGTTAATTACCAATTAATAACTCAACCATTTTAATGTGGTGAAGCGAAAACGTCGACTTGTTCCGGAGGTGTTGAATTTCTGGTTTTCATTATTTATTGCAGTACTTACAGTCGAAGATTGGTCCGTATGTGCACGTTTGAAAGAGATTTAAGAGAAAAGATCAACTCAAACATACTGACATTGAGATCACACGCCACATTAATGGCCACATTACTAATTATATTGGTTTTTGTTAATTTAGGCGATAATGACATATGAGAGCTGAGTGGAGTGAAGGAAAATATGCAAAGTTTCAAAAGAAACAAGAACAAGGAGCCAAGGACAAGGACGAAAACAGAGGACAGTGGAGAGAGCAACATTTCATGAATCTGGGGCAAAGGAGGGACTGAGAGAGAGTGAAAGAGAGACAAGTCGTAAGGTTAAAGGTGAATGATGAATCCATTAGAAAAAGCAGAAGGCGAAGCATTCTGAATGAAGCAGTCACGAGTAAAAAGGGGACTGGTTAATGCTATCATCGGGGTTTCCTCGGACTACAACCTTCGAACTCGCACGCCATCTTGATTCTCATTTTTCTTTATCAATGAGATTCCATCCCACTTTTATAAACACGTGTTTCATTTTTTATTCTACGACTTACTTTTAAAAACAGAGCTTTGAGACCGGTTGGTTTGGAGTTCTTTACTTTAAGATTCAACAATTAACAGATTTGGGTTCGATAAGCGATTTAAATTAATTTATTGAATAAATATCTCAATTATAATCATTTAAATTTTTCGTTTCTTTCCAAAAATTCAAACTAATCATTATAATTAGTATACTCTTCATGCATGTTGTCCTTCAAAAAACTTGAGATTGAGTGTTTTTTTTTTTATATTATGTAACAAAACCTTTGACAACCAATTTATTCTCATGCGTGAGATGATAGGTTGTTTAATTTAATGCCATTGTACATGTGTAATGATAATCTGTACCGCATTGCTGTTGGGGGTGGTTTTTTTTTTTTTTGACCAAAGTTGGGGGTGGTTAACTCTTTAGGTGGATTCGTGGTAATAACTATTACACATTATCACCAAAATAATAGTAATACTCACCATATTTCATTATCATCTTTTAATTTTAAAATGATGTTAGGATTGTATTGCATTGCGTCTTTTCAAAAGAACGAGGAATTGAACCAAATAAGTTCTTAAAGTGAGTGGATTTAATAGTTTTACTTTGTGTTCTTAAATTGCAATACACAAGTTTGAACTAGGATCCAAAAAAAAAAAAGTGAGTGGATTTAGATTATTTACCATTCAAATCCACTATCAATGTATTTCATATAATTTTGTCCACAAAAAAATTTATGTTTAACTTAACCCTTTCCCATAAAAAAAAAGAGAGAGACAAACACACCCATGCACGCACACATCACGTGTTACTACTTAATTACATATCATTTTATTAATTAATTTTCTTTTACATTGATCTACTTAATTAATGTTGTCTCGAATGTCAATTTATTCATGGAACTTTTCTGGGAGAAGATAAATTATGACCCAAGACTTGTGGTTTAGGGTCAAGGTATCATCTTTTTCATCCTAATAGTAAAAAGATTTAATTCTCATTTTTGAAGAAAAAATGTATTTGTCAGTTTAATCGCTGTTTTTTCATTTATACTCTTATTTTTATTAATTTTTTTGGGTAATTATTTTTACTAAATTTAATTATAAGGTTAGAGGGATAATTGGAAAAAAATAGATAAAATAATCATACCGTCATAGTACTGTGATATTTTAAAAATAATTACTATTTTAGTATTCACATTGCCTGACTTATATGCCAAAATGCTTTTTTTTTTTTTTTGCCTGAAATATGCCAAAATGCGAAAGATGCAACTGAAAAGCAGCTAGTCCTGTATGGCAGGACAAAAAAGTTGATCGTTTTTCTTTTGGTCAACAAAAAAGTTCATTGATTGAGCCGTTGTTGTTCACAATAGTCCTCGAAAAACGCGCACTAAAGCGATTCGTCTGTTAGACCTCGCTAGGCCTGACACTTATTGCAAACTCTGATCCATTAAGCGATGCTTCCACTCATTACTCGTTAAAAATAAGCTATTACCAGTTTTGAAACAAAACTACTCTTACACTATTGATTTAGTTCAAACTAACAGATTCTCGAGCGCGCACATTAAATCAAGCGCAATTTCAATCATATCCTACTCCCTCCATCCTTACATATAAATTTTTTTTTAATCAAATCATATAAATTAATAAAAATTAATTATTTTATTAAAAGGATGAGAACATTTCAATTTTATCCTTAAGTATTATAAATAAAAAAATAAATTTTTTTCTAAAGTAAATTAACGAGGATATTTATCCTTTTTTTTTTCAACTTGGTAGAAGTATAATGGTTCATTTATTAAAAAAATACTAACAACTTTTAATATTTAAAAATAAAAAATATTTTAAAAGACTTCCTATATACAGAGATATGGAGGGAGTATATGTTTTTGGGAAAATAAAACTCCTATTTAATTTGAAATTTGAAATTGTTAGAATTAGTCTCCCTTCTGTTTGTATATATGGAGATAGAGAGAGATTAACATTAGATGTTATGATTGGAAGAAAAGCAGCTTATCTACATTATCTTTAGACTTTAGATATCTGCATGTTGTTCTCTCTCCTCATATGATGAATAAGGACGACTCGTGATACATTATTAGTTTCTCTCTCCTTATATCAGCATCTTTACTTTATAGTTACGAATTATAAGCAGAGATATATAATGCCATTTAAACACACGCATGCAAAGATCGGGTAGAAAAGGAATTCATGTGCGCAGTTCGGAGGAACAGATAATAGGAGATCCAGTATCATTATTAAGATGATTGATTGGAAAAAGGATTTATTAATTTACAAGGCAGCCCAATCAGGGTAAGGGTCAACAAAGTAGTCTTGGAAAGGCTCAATGGAGGAGGAAGGACCATAAAAGCCAATTCCATTGCCAGCAAATAAGAAGTTGGTCTCAAAATCATCAATTATAATCATCTCCTGCAAAGAATTATCTTGTAGAAACTTTCTAGTTTCACTATTTTCACTGCAATTTAAAATTTCCTTGTAAGGATTTGACTTGATGTTAAGAGCCATATCATTTGATTTGGTAGAGGGTGACTTTGAATGTTGACAAGTTTTGATCTTTTCCTTCTTATTAACACCCAACTTTTTGCTCAAATGAGTGTTCCAGTAGTTCTTCACTTGGTTGTCTGTCCTTCCTGGCACCCTCCCTGCTATCAATGACCATCTTCAAGGCAACAAACATTCAAACAATAGAGTTCATTAGTTTAGTTGTATCTAACTTTGAATGAACAATCAATTCATCACAATTTCTGTCTACTCTCCATTTCTGTGATTATATATACTGTGAGAGCTGTCTATACTGTTGTAACTTGTATCTTTTATAATCCGGTTGATGATAGACATGCATATATCTGTGTGTGTGAGGAAAGAAAAAGAAGAAGAGACCTATTTCCAAGGAGATTGTGGAGGCGAATGATGAGGTCGTCTTCTTCTTCGGAGAAATCTCCACGCTTCACGTTCGGACTCAGATAGTTCATCCACCTCAGTCTGCAACTTTTGCCACATCTCTTCAACCCTACACCGACACAAAACAGCACACCGAAGATATATATGTAAAACAATCACGAGGTTTCGTGTGTGTGTGTGTGCATGTATGTATATATATATACCAGTGGCTTTAGCAATACGATTCCACTTCCCTACCCCGTGCTGCTTCACGTGCTCCATTAAAATCTTGTCTTCCTGGGAATTCCACAGCCCCTTCTTATATTCATGCCTACCTTCCATTGTTATTGTTTTACTAAGGAGATTACGTCGAGAAGAGTACTATTGCGTGCCGGTATATATGTTTCTCAAGGAATTTAGAAATAAAGATAGTTTTGATTGACTCTGGGGTCGCTGGCTTTTCGATATGGAGAAGTTATTGGACGCAGCGTGTTTTATAGTGTCGAGGGATAGACCGCGTGTTCCGAGTTCATATGAGCGGTGAACTCGTAATAAATCAGTCTCCTGTACGATGTGTCTGTTTGTAAGAAAAAGAAGAGCCATTATTGAGATCTCTCACTGACCGTAGGGGCCAATTTCGACACTGAGACACACCACTGTTTTGTTTTCTTCCTCTCGCAGTTAACCTGATCCCTTCATCAAGATTTGCTCCAATTATTGTACACGTCTCCTCCTCTTACTTATTTCTTTCCGCTTTTTAACTTTCTACAGAGCGAGAAGCTGAGAATTTACGTTTTACACCCATCTTTCTGTGCTTTTGTCATTTGACGAGCAATTCCTCGCACTGGCCAATTCATTTCACAGGTGTAATTGCTTGTGTGTGTGTGGGTGTAGATTCTTTACAGAAGCTGACAGTGAAAAGGAGCAGAAATACGTACGGAATGAAGACAGTTGGAGGGTTGTAGGCATGAGGGGGTTGTGTGGAGGGATTCCTGCATATAAAAAGACCGGTTGTGTTTCGAAGAGGCAGTAGCAAGACTAGTGCATGATGGTTTATTTGTTGAATTGTTGGATCACTTTCAGTTTCACCAAGGAGTAATGAGAGCTAGGGTGTAGGATCAGGCATGAGTAGGCTTCTAGGATTGTTCATTCCCGTGCAAGTGAGTCATCGCGTACGACCCCGTTGTTGGTTTTCGATTTACATGCAGAGAATCTTATTCTCCATGACTCCGGGGGGTAGAATTTCCCTTGTGTGTTTTTTTTTTTTTTTAACCCTGCTTGGGTACCGGAGGGGTTAAAAATAGCACAACTGTCATCTCACTCAGCCTCTACGTCTTTGGTTATAATCCGTCCAGCAAAATGGTGTCATCTATATCCCATGACCTAATCATTCTCAACAGCTTGGCTCTTGTAATTTGTAATGACGACGTTATTACGGTTAATCCGTACGGATTTTTATACTCTCTCCATTCTAAATTATAAAATATTTTTAAAAGAGTTTTTTATTTTAAATATAAAATATTTTAAATAGATTAAAATTTCATTAAATGTAATAATTTTAATTTTATCTTTTATCTTTCTATAAATAATTTTTATTATTTTTTTAATATATTAAATGATAGATATTTTTAAAATTTTATATTTTTATTTTAAAAAATAAAATTATTAAATATATTTAATAAAATTTATTGATAAATAAAATTTTATTTAAAAATATTTTATAATTTATGATGGAAGAAGTAATATTAATTGCCGGTGTCACATGCGGAGGCAAGAGAGAAATGATGAGGGGAAAGGTTTGGGGCGTGTCCGGAGGCGTTGGAAAACGGAAGGAATACAGCCGAGGCAGCTTTGTGTCTGTGAGTGAGTAAAAGAGCAGAACTCTTGCAGAGTACTTTGCTTTGCCAGCGTGACAGAGTCAGTAAAAATATATTCCAGATTAAAATAATATCATATATTTTAAATTAAATAAAATTTTTAAGAGATATTTTATATTATAATTTTAGAAATAAGATGAACATACACTTGTCCAGATCCTAGGATCCTGCATGGAGCCGTATGGTGTGGTGTGATTTCTTAGCACATGGCCGTATCCATCCATTGTCTTAATCAATGTCTTTGTTTGTCTCTTCCTCTCCTTCCCCAAATTCACCAATGCACCCTCAGCGCTTGATCACTCACCCTGTTATTATTTGTGTGTGTTCATTCGTTTCAACCCTAACATCAGTACCTATTCATTAATTAAAAACCAACCACTACCAACAAATGTTGGGCCTGGTAGTGGGAACTATTTTCTCATAATACAGTAAATCAAATTTAAATTCTCATTAAAAACGATACCCACGTTTATATTTAATGTATAAAACAAGTGCCAAAATATATCATCACAAACAGCAAACATCTGCTTTCTCACTATAATTCATGAAATGCCATTTATAACATATTGTTGGGAATTGTGCAAATAATAATCGGAAATAAGCAAAATAAAACAATTGTAAATATTAAAAAGCTAAAGCAAATAACAAAAAATGACATAAGAAATTTAATATGAAAAAAATTCTCCAATGTAAATCCACGGGTAACGAATGAGAAATTTTATTATATAAAACATGTGTACAAAAAACCGAGCAAAAGTAGCCATGTTAACTTAAAAACTCAAAACTTAAATTTATGAATTTTTTATTTTATATTATTTCTTAAGCTTAACTTTATCCATTGTCTCTAATTCACTCATGAACAACCTAATACATATTATGCCTACATCCACGTGCTGAAAGTGTAATTATTATTACTTTTAATTTGATATTCTTCTCATCAATTTTAATCTGAAAAGGATCAAAATGGGTCAAGCTTTGTGCATACGTTTAAAACTCCAGAGGTCACTGGTCCTCTCGATACTCGATCGAGGTTCCATCTCCGTATCTTTTATGCAATCTCTTGTTAAAAAAAAAAAAAAAAAGCTCTAGAGATCCACTGATACATATGATTATATACGGCCTTGTGGAGGTTGAAGTTCATTTAACCTTTTAATTTGCTTTTTTTAAAATCTACATATATATCAAGAGTGGTATATAAATGTAGATCAATAGTCACCGACTGTTCTTCAAACTTGTTCCATAAATATCATTTCCTCGTCAAATGAGGTTAATAGTAAATAGGACTCACTCCAATTCTTTTTTCTCCATACAGAAGAAGAAGAAACCTATTCATTGAATCATTGTTGCTTCATGTCCTGTTTCTCTTCCAAATGGCAGCTGAAATTAAGCTAGAGGCCAAGAATGATCACATCACGTCCTTGCATATTTTCATTTTTTTGTCCCTCTCGATCATCAAGAATATATCGGAGCGTACGTTATAAATGCTATTGTATACAGATTCAAACATGGCTTGCCAATTTTTGCATTCTTAGAGCCTGTTGTTTTCTATTTTTAAAAATTATTTTTTTTTGAAACAAAAGCATTAAAAAACTTGTTTGAATAAATATTGTTCATTTAATCATTTTTAAAACTGTTTTCATTTTTTAAAATACACTACATTTGAATGTTAAAAATTACATTTATCTTGATTAATTTTTATCATTAATCATCACCATTAACTGTCTATAACTATCATTATCATTTCATTTTTAAATTTTAAAGCTGTTTTTAATTGATATAACTAAACAGATTTTTATTGTATTTTGTTTTGAAAATAATTTAAAAAATTATATTATGAAGCAGTTTTTAAAAACAAAATATAAGAATAGAAACCAAACTAGGCCCTCAGACTCTTCGACCCAGATTGAACATCCCAGCATGCTATCAAACTCTAAATTTAAGAAAATTACATTGACGATGATGATGATCAAGTTTTAGGGAAAGCTTTGTGCATAATAATAAAAATTAAGAAAGGTTATTTGTGGACTCCAACGAGAGCCAAGAGGCAACAGTACAGAGGACCCAGACTATACGCACTCACTCTTCCAAACGTGTTGGCTTCAACTGGAGACGATGAGCCCTAACTTCTCAAATCAAATGTTTGACTTTTGGTGGAAGTTTTAGCCGTCATATTTTTTTTATGTATGATGAAGACGAAACTTGAAAGGGTGAGTTCGATCATGATGATTTTGTCGCATTTGATTTTATTTTATTTTTTAACCAGCGCATTTGATTTTCTTTTTGCTTGAAATTCGTCTTGTTACTGTAAATTGATAACTTTATTGACAGGACAATATGTTCTCTAGATCCAGTTCATATTATGTTATGAGACGTGAAGAATGATGATTCGATGAGTTAAAAAGGCTCCTTGAACGAAGTTGAGTGATCAAATCTTGCAGATGAAAGGACGTGTCGGGCGATTTATCAAAGAAATAACACCGGTTGAGACGTGTGCGTGTATTTACATGTAGTCTTCGTTCAAGGGAAGCATGCTTTCCTCTTCCTTTCTCATCATCTCTCCCTCTCTCTCTTTTTAATTATTAGATCAAGATTTGAATAATTTAAGTTGGATCTCCTAAAAAATTATTATAAAATATTAAAAATATAAAATAATAAAATTCAAACTACTAATATTTAATATGAACAATTAAAAAACAGCAAAAACAAAATGAAATGAAATATTTTATAAGAAATAAAATATCAACTATTCAAATCTTGATCTAATGATTAAGAATTAGGAAGTGACGAAGAGGACAGGAAGGGAGGAGGAGATAATCCTCACCTGGCTGAAGTTATATGAATGCAGAAAAGTTTTGAGAGAACTATTCTTAATTAGATCATGCTAATATTCATATATTAAAAAAAGAAAAAAGAAAAGAATTATACTATTGGACATTGATAAATAGCAACAAAAGGTTATGATCAATAAGTATTTCATCAATGGAGAAACATTTTATCTATATATGAAAGACTTTGATTGGAAATGTTTCATAACATCTGTTACATGGCTGATCGAGCTCGGTGGATTATTTTTAAACCTTAATTAGAGTCATGATTTTAATAAATCAATAATTGTGGCAGCCGTACACCTCTTGGTTATCGAATTTAAGGGGCATTCACGGGAAAAAAAAAAAAAACCTCTCTGAACCAGTTATTTTGCAGATGAACTTTTGATGATTGGCACTGCCCCCGGATTTTTTTCGTTTGGGGATGTGAATTAAGTTTGTTGATCAACTATCCTTTTTCTTTTTGCTTTTCCTGTATGTCTTAAACGCACCATACTGCAAGATCAGCATGTCCCTCAGCTTTTCATTTTCATACTATTTGATGTTTAATATTATTACCTATTAGGATAAATTTGTGTATTAAATAGACTTTAGGACGCGGCTTTTTCTGAGTTATCAAGACGGTCGTGCCATAGCGGACAAAGAGAAACTATACTGATCCAGTATAAACTTGGTCATAAAGAAAAAGCTCTTCTTTTTCCAAATATCTTGAAGCTTCATCAAATTATATGATGTGGTGTGAATAAAATTTATTGTATAAACATGATACATGGTATGGAATT